CCTGCTGAAAAATTGAGACAGCTGCGGCCATCATTCTCACGGAAGTTCCACTCATATGTACTACCAACTCCGATTGATACAAAAGGCTCAGCTTCTGTCGAATCAGCTAATCCTGTGAATAACACAGCACAGACAAGTCTCAGTGAGCGCACGCAGAATTTGTGGCATTCATCTCCATTGGAACCAAAAAAGTATGAAAAGATTTTGGCGGATGCAAAGGGTCCTTCACCAACTGTTACAGGCGTACAGTCTTTACTAAAAGAGAGCAACAACAACATTTCAGCAGCTCGGCTACCTCCTCCATTGTTAGATGGCCGTGTATTCTCACGTCAGGATCAACTTGGTGCTTCTGATTCTAAAAAACTTAAAAGATATGCCTTTTCTGGTCCATTGACAAGTATACCATGGCCCACTAAGCCTGGTGCTTTGAACCATCAACAATTGTTCTCTGGACCTCTACTGCGAAATCCTGTGCCTCAACCTTCATCATCACCACCTAAAGCCTCCCCAGGTACTTCCCCTCCTTTTATGTCCTCGCCTAAAATTAGCGAGCTTCATGAACTACCCAGGCCACCTGTCAGTTCCTCCCAATCTTCAAGACCATCAGGTTTGGTTGGTTATTCTGGCCCATTAGTGTCTAGACCTCAAGTTCATTCTTCTGCAAAAATGGTGAGAAAATCTCCTCTGCCAAAACCTCCTCAAAGCATTTCTCGCAGTTTCTCCATACCTTCAAGTGGTCCTAGGATTGCGGATTTACATGTGCCGAAACCAATGGAAGTCTCTCCTAACTCTGAGAGTGCTGGTGACCTTGTCTCACCTCCTTTATCACCAATTACCCTATCTAACAACTAGCCATCAACAACCAGTTTTGAGATTTCTTTAGGTGGTTTGAACCAGAGGTAATTCAGTTGTTCTGAATCTTCTGATTTCTGAAAGATTTTTTTCCCCGGACTATTTAGTACTTAATGCATGGGCTCCTTTATAAGAAGTTTTAAATGTAGCTAAGTTATTTATTTTGGAGTTTCTAGGCTACAAGTGGTTTCTTATTATTGTTTCTGATGATACAAATTGTCATTTTGGAAATACTTGGAAGGAGAGGGAAATAGTCTAGGCTCGTAGGAAGTCCACAAGATACCAGTTTCTCTTCAAATCTATACCTCTTTCAGGATTTTGTTTCAAAGAAACATACAGGGTAGTTAAAGCATGCCTTTTGGTGTTGGGGAACCTATGATGAAAGAGAGACAATTCTCAATAACCATCAAAATATACAAAAATTGCACTAATTAGGAAACTCACTAGTATATTTACTTTTCCTTCAAACAACTAACTTTATTTGCTTAGGAAAAAAAAAAGAACTTTTGTGCAAACAAATAAATGTGTTACCCTATTTCAACATATCAAATATTCATTTGCAAACAAATACAAATGAGGGAAGAAAAATGTTGTGCTAGTTGTGATCTATTTCGCTATGTGAAGCTTCATATTTTCATTCTTCATTTGTTTTCCGTTTATGAAGACTGATTATATTGTATTGACACAGGTGCAGATCGTCAATTTGTGGCCGAGTTTTGATTCTAACTTTGGAACAAGAAGTACTTTGCGTAGTATTGTTTCTCGTTAGCGTGTACAGGTGCTGACTATGTAAATATCTTTTGTCTATGATTAATATTTATTAATCGTTTTTTCAATCATCTTTATCCATTGATTATCTAAACATGATGGACACATGAAAAGGATTAGTTAAATAATTTTTTAGTGGTGTTCCATCATTGAGAAATTTTGTATTTTCTCCAAGCTATCAATAGTCAATAACCATTTCCATTTTCCTGATTACTCCAATGTGTTGACTTCTTCTGTCGTGCCATATTAGTACCAAAGAAGTTAATTTGTATTTCCTTTATGTAGTTCAGATTATTTTCTCTCTCTCTCTCTTCTTCTTCTTCTTCTTCTTTTTTTTGTTTTGTTTTTTTTTGTTTTTTTGGAATGTTTAGTTTGAACCTCAATAACAAGTGACATATGAATAACTTGCTTAGTGCTCTTTGAGAAGGCTGAAATACGAAATAAGTTCCAAGCTATTGAGATTCCCGTGTTCGATGAACATGAAACTAGTGTATCACTACGGCCTCGTTCAGTTTATCGATTTGAGATTTTAATTCGAGTTGAGATATGACTTGAGAGCTTTTAATTGTAGCAGAAAAAATTAGATGTGATTTTTTGTTAGAACTTTTAACTATAAAAAAATTTGAATTAAAAACTCAAATCGGTGAAATGAATGAGCCCATTTTTTCTCTTATTTAGGGAATCTTTATGGTGGAGAAGGGGTAGAAACTGTTATTTTTAATCGTTAGATTAGTTTTTTAATTGTGCATATTCGCATTAAAAGTTTACAATGCGTGACACAAAATTGCTAAGGTTGGCAATTCGTGTTAACGTGTCGCGTTCGGGCCGACATGATTATAGTAAACACGAACATGACATAGTTAATAAATGTGTCAGAAATCCAAACACGGAACACTAATAACACGGTTAACACTGCACAACACGCAGACATGGTTACTAAACGGGCCGTGACGGGTCGATAAAAAAAAACACGTTTATGACTCAATTAGCAAAAATAGTGGAATTTTATATTGTATTTAAAATTAATATTAATTGATTACTTAATATCACTTGTAGTTAAAATCTGACGACTATGTAATAAGAAAAACATAAATGATCTAATTCTCCTTAATAGCCAACACACATAAAAATATCTGAATATCAAACACACACATGTATATTTATATATATATATATATATATATATATATGATACTACTAGATTATCATATATATATATATATATGTTTTAAAACATTAACATTTGAATGTTTAAGTGCATGAAACATAAAATAAATATAGAAAAATGTCTTCTTTGAGCTTGAATGCCTAACTACGCTTTAAAAGTTTTCAGTTGCTTTAACCTATTCATAAAAAAAAAAACAACATTTTCTGGAAAAAAAATATAAACGGGCAGGCCATGTCGTGTTGTGTCAGCCCGATAACGGCCCACATAACTAAACGGGTTAAGCGTATTAAACGGGCTGGCACGAATTCAGCCCAATAGTAGAAAATATGCCAATATGAAAAGCTTAAGAAAGTATATAGGTCAATTTTTAGTTATAGAAATTAATAGGCCATAACTTGTCAAGTTATGGTTCATAACCAGATAAGTTATGGACAAACTGGTCAAGTTATGGTTCATATCCAGACAAGTTATGGACAAAAACCGTGAATTATGGATAATAACTTGTCAAGTTATGGTTTATAACTAGACAAGTTATGGACGAAAACAGTAATTTGGCATATTTATTAACTTATGTAAACTATTGGCCTATTAATTTTAATTCATCTCAAGTCTTGGCATATTTTCCTCTTTCTCATATTATTCGTGCCAATCTATTAACGACCAAATTAATAATCGTGCAGTCTAAACTCATTTATCTCGTGTCGTTTTTATATCGTTTCACCATGTCGTGTCTAAAATTATCGACCCTACTCCTACTGCAGATTAGACTGCTAAAATCTATTCTAATAATTAAAACATAGTTCCTACCGGTGAAGTACAATAGCTTTCTTCACACCCCTTCTTTATTAATAAGTAACAAGATAAAAATTGCTATAGCAAGGGAAAAAGAAAAAAAAAAAAAAGAAAAAAAAAACCAAGAGGAGACAGATCAGCTTCACACAACTGTTTTTGTACTAGAATCTAGTTGTTACATTGATATTAAAGAGGATCATTCAAATCTTTCGATGGCTTTATTTTACGTATGTATAAAAATACACTATCCTGAAAACGACCGTATCTCCGCAGCAACAACTGTTTCGAAAAATGCCTTCTAAAGTGGTTGACGATTGATTGCGAACATGCAGATGATTTCACTGTTCTTACTAACATGACTGATCCTGATTTGATTTGCTGGGTAATTCGTCTTTTATAAGTGATTTGCTACGTAACTTTTAATTTTCTTTTTTCCCCCTAAAAAGTAAACCCATAAAGCCTTTCCTTAAAAAAGGACCTTTTAGATAGATGTAATAATTAGCAACGCTTTGTTGCCCCTTGTTGCTTTTAAGCACATCATTTACGGTTTCCTCCAATTTCATATCTCACAAATCCCATCAGTTCTGGTCCTTCCAGTCTTGGGTTATTCTTGAAACTGCATCCAAACAATCCACAACAACACAACCCAGGAAGAGTCAGATATCCAAATGAAAAAAGGGAATAATAACAAAGAAAATTCTACTGTAAGGCATGGATTAGCCTTAAATTAACGAGTTTAATCCAATAAACCACCTTTCTTCTGATAACTTAGTGAAGGAGCCGATGGTTGGAATTGTACCATACAAATCGTTGTTCGACACGTCACTACACCAAATAAGACATAATGGTGAGTCTAAAAGAGATTAAAAAAATAATCAAGAAATTAATTCTTATTCACAGAAATGGGATCATGACATACAGGATCTTGAGATTTCCAAGTTTAGTAAGTTCCCTGGGAATCCTTCCACTCAATCTATTGCCATTCAGTCGCCTGCATTAGCTTTTCGTGAGACTCCTTTAACACTAAATTTATAAGCGAATGAGTTAAGTATAGGACATTTTCAACCATTCATAGTGGTAGGAATTGATATTTCACTATATTGGTAGGAAAAGTTATTTAACGGATTATTTTTTCAACGGTTTGATCTGTGAGTGCATCTATTAAAAAAGTATAGTGTGCGATATAAAATTGCTCATACTCACAGATCAAACTGTTGAAAAACTGATCTAGCAACTAAAACAATAGTACCTACTATAAGGTAAAATAGCAATTTGTACCATAAAAATTTCCTACAAAAAAACATAAACATAGTTTTCAGTAGCTAGGAAGACAAAGAAGATCGCTTACAAAAATTTGAGATTTGAGAGTTTGGAGAGGGAAGGAGGGATGTTGCCAGTGAGGTTATTGTGATAAAGATCCAAGCTAACGAGGCTCTTCAATCCTCCAAGTTCCTTTGGTACAGGACCCACTAAGTTGTTCATGTACAATTCCCTGGTGCAACAGTCACCAACCAGCCCTTCTTGTTAGTAAATGCAAAAATATACGATTTATTAATCATGCCCAATTTAATACTCTCATATTATTATTTATCGTTTATATGGACTGATTGGCTGGGGGGGGAGGGGAGATTCATCATAAATCTTCTTCAACTGTTGATGTAGAAAGAAAACAAAATGGGGTAGGTGAGATTCATCATAAATCTTCTTCAACTGTTGATGTAGAAAGAAAACAAAACTAGTATGTTATTATTCAAGAAACGGCCTTTCTTTTTTGTCTCTTTTGAATCACTAGTGACTAGTGATCACGTTAGTACATCAAAATTATTGAAATGAGATGCAAAAATTTAAATTAGTTATTATTATTATTATCATTATTTTTTTTTACTGTTAGCAATGATAAGTTAACTCTAAACTTAAAGATGATGACAGAATCAGCAGAAAATAACAAGAAATGAAACTACTGAAAGATTCTGAAATATACTCACAGATACTGAAGGCGCTCAAGCTTCCCCAAGTCAGGCACCAGACTGCCAGACAGATTTGTATTTCCAAGGTCTCTGCACATGTTTTGTATTCAATTAATAAAAAAAATTGTGCTTCATATAAGACTGTTTTTGGGTTTATAATTCATTTGCTCAAAAGATTACAACACAAAAACTGAAAAAGAAACCTCACATGAAAAGAATATATTACGACAAGCAAGTTACTCACTATTACTTTGTGCTAACTATTCATCTATAATCTCTTCTATCACAATATATATATATATATATATATATAATTTCAAGAAATATTTTCTCCTCATTTTCATTCAAACGAAAAGTTCTATGTTTTACATAAGAGAACTACAAAACGTTTTGATTTGCTTCCAAGAGCAGTTCAAGTAATTTTTTGACACACAAAAACAAAAAACAAAAAAAAAAGAAACGACACATGATAAAGACAAAATATATAAGACAAGCAAGTTAAAGCAAAGATGAACAAATTGGACATGAAAGAACCTTAAAGATAAAGAGACAAAAAAACGAGAAAAAAGAAAATAAGAGGAGGGATTAGAGAAATAATTACAGTCGGGTAACACGGTTATCAGAATCACAGGTAACATGGAACCAAGTACAAGGATCAACCAAAGTTGGATCCCAGCTCTCCAAAACGTTATTTGGGTCCTTCATTGCCCTTCTTAATGCGTAAAGAGCATCTCCTGTTCATCATCATCCATATATAATAACTGTTATAATATATATATATATATATATGTAATACTACTACGTTAATAAACACTTAATTTGTACCTACAAATATTACAAATACTAGTAAGACTAATTGTAGCTAAAGCTGCTTCTATTTGTTTACCTTCTACGTTTGCATTTGTAATTGGTGTCAAAGGCCAAGACAGTAGAATTACAACAAGAGCAGAAAGCAGATGAAATATTGGAGCCAAGATCGCCATTGATTTGCAAAACTAGCTTTGGACTATTATATTATGATCAGGGCTTCAAGAGTCAAAGATGCTGATGGGGAATTTGCTTTAGAGAGAGAAAGAAGGAGAGAGAGAGAAGTTTGGCTCTTTCTTTTGAGTGCAAGGAAGCAAGGAATCAAAACGTCGGAGAATTTATAGAGCCCATAAAACGACTTGCTTTTTTCATTTGCCCTGCAAAAGAGCTCTAATTAATTAATTACCAAAAGTTTTAAATTAGCTTGGGTCTTTGTGCTTTCTGTTTATGCTTATTTTTCTTTTCACTACTCGTATGTCTTTTTCATTTACATTAATAAAGCCAAACGACACAGCTTGTGATTTTTTTCTAGTATGTCCCAATTAATATAAACATGACTTGGATTAATTTGGAAGTAGAACTAGTCACTAGTCTGCATTGTAGCTTTCTGTGTAGTGTACACATAAATAAATATATGTATATACATATCATATATAATACATCATTTTTTTACTTTGGAATATATCAGAATTATATCAAAATAAAAAAAAATATATAAATCTGACCTAAACCTGATAAAAAATTTTAATTGTTTATTAACTACATAGTATGTAATATATACTTGTGTTACCCGATGAAAAAAATTTCTAACATATTTTGAAAAGAAAAGAGAGGAAAAACAGATTTTGCGTGTATAGCAATTACCAATAGCAGTATTGAAAAGAGAGATTGGTGGGAGAATCCAGACATATCTTTTGAACTCTGTCGGAGCCAATTGAGACCTTGCCTTATAAACTGACACTTATCCATTGCTACAAAATTTTTTATACAATAGACCAAATCTTTTTTTCCCCCCTTTTATTATATGCTCTCCTCTAGATCTTTATATTTATCCTTTTTTTTTTTTTTTTCCCTTTTGTTCCAAGGTTAAAAGTTAAGATACGGACAATTTAAAAGAGCATAAACAGTAGGGGAATAATGCAACTTGGAAATGTGTGGTGGTCGGGGAAGACATTGCTGAATTGGCTTATTTTAATTGAAGCCTTTTCCTTTGCAGTTTTTATTCTTTCAACTGGGTATTGGGTTTTGAAAAAAAAACTCATTGATGCTTGGATTCGGCACTAAGAGGTCTCTGTCTAAAAGAAAGCCGAAATATTCTAGAAAAATATAAGTCAACCACGTTGCACCAAAGCAATTTGCTTGCTAATTGGCTTCCATTTGAATTCGAAACAATCCCCCGTTTTTACTATGCCGTATTTCCTTTCTTCTTAGTTCATTCATTAGAGAATTTTGTGGTATGGTACAAAGAAATATACTACTACCGATATGATACAATTTCGACCCGTTACATCAAAATCATCTAAAAATTTAAAAACAAGTACAAAATTAACAAAACTTAATGAATACTTGATGATGAGAACCAACACGATACTGCCCCAAATAATTCTCTCGATTCATTTTTAAGAATAGTGAAATAATTCTAAAGTTGGCACATAACCTTGAGATTGAGCAGCTCAAAATGATAACTACTATTCAATCTAAGCTGGCAGTTCATGTACTTTTGTGACTCATTATCCTAAACCTTTTTTGGCCCTTTTGGAGATTCTATTATTCTCTACTATGACTTTAGGAGATCACTAAATGGTTCAACTAATTAAGCACCTTCAAGCTCATAATCACATGCAATATACAACTATATGTAATTCAAAAGGAATCCCCCTCAAATTCCCTCCTAGAAAGAGAGGGAAAAAAAAGAAAGAAAAAGTAAAAGGGAAAATAATAATGTATAAAGGAAACAAAAAAGAAACTAGAGGACAATAGAAGTTTGGACAGATTAGCAGTAGTAGTAGGAACAAGGATGGTGTGATTGTGGGCATGTGAGAAGTCTCTTCTTTTAATGGTTTGCGTAATTGTAGTAATAGGGCAGTTTGGGGTCCATCTCATTGGGGCTTTGACTCCATTTATCATTAGACTTGGACATGGCCAGAATTTTGGTTTAATCTGCATGTGCATGTTGTGTTGGGTTCCATTTCATCACTAGAAAATCTTAATTAGTGGAAGTAGGACATCCCACACAAGACACAAACATATATATGTACATGTATATGTATATTTATATAAAGATGGATAAGTGTCATTCATGATCACCTTCTCCTTAAAAGACGTAACTTGACCAAGCCAGAAAGCACTCACAAAAAAAATCCGGCAATCGTTTTCTCTCTCTCTCTCTCTCTCTCTCTCTCACCTGTTCCCCTTTCCAGTTCTTTCATTATAAGATTGGCGTGAAAAAGGTGGAATCAGCTGTAAAAAGACCACCTTCTTCTACTGAGCTTCTTCAAAGACAAAAGCTTTATGTCATGATCATTTGAGTGTACAATCACTAACTTGCGAGGTCCCAATTTTCGTTCATAAGTAAACAGATAGACTATATATATTTGTTGACCATTGACCTCAAAGAGAGAAAAAATTATCATTAATTTGTATTTTCCGTCTAATCTCAATCATATATATATATATATATATATGTTTATATAAGTTCGATTTGACCAAAACATTCTTCACACTTGACAGTAATTGATTCAAACCAAGTACCCCAACAATTGAATCCTCATTACTCATCTCAAAAAAATTGCAAGGTTTCTAAGCAAGCCAAATACGTCTCAGTGGAGGCACGTGGAATTTAATTTTTATTTGTAAAATTTGTATAAAGTTCTACTTACAGGATGACTTAATAAGAAAATTCTAACGACGCCTCTACCTAAGAAAAAATATATATATATTTTCCGCCAGTGCTGCTTTGACGAATTAAAGCTGTTTGGAGTTGGGATTTAAGGTCTGAGTTGTGGTGAGGGTCAGCATGAATAATGAGATTGGTGAAAAAGGAAGAAGATTGAGAGAGAGAGAGAGAGAGAGGAAAAAAGGATCCTTTTGGATTTAAATAATGCAAAACTGACCAAAATGTTAACCATAAAGGCAAACAGTTTGTTGGTTGCTTTTGGTGCCCCTCCACTCCTATTCAAATTCATACATATCTTTGTTGTTTTTCAGGACATATGTCCCTAATATAAACGGATTTTTTCCTCAGCTCTCTCTGTTCTTTTTTTTATTTTTATTTTTTATTTTTGGTTCTGTTTTTCTTTAAACATAATAACATGGTTTCTAAAAGAACATCAGAGCAAAGAAAGCAAGACTATATAATAGCAGATAAAGAGGCCAAAATAATACTATGCTAGCGATGATCACGCCGGGATAGTTTGAGCCCACACTTGCAAAGAAAGATAAAATTTTAAAAAGCTTTCTTTTCTTTTCTTTTTCATTCATATAACCAACTGAAGTACAAAGTTGATTTATTCAAACAACTTATTTGAAATTATTGTGAACATAAAAAAAAAACAAAAAACAAAAAAAATAAAGCTGCAAGTAAACCCAAGTTATTCAAACGCCTTGTTCTATCAACTATGAAGGAGGGACTGTAGTTCTTCAATATCTTGCATCTAGTGCTTTGGAGCTTTGGGATCTTGTATAATAGTAGTAACTGCAAAGTTGATAACAAAAACAGAAAAGACCAATTAAGGGTAAGCCAGGATATCGATTTAGCTAATTAATACCATGTTACCACAAGTACTCTACAAGTATATTTCTAATGCAATTTGAACCACTCATATTGAAAGATATCAAAATGACATTACAGTAAAATAAAATTGACCAGTTGAATTGCCGCGGCGGATGGTCCCGGCCAACAAATTGTCTGAGAAGTCCCTGATTAAATCATAAAACGCTTGTAATAATTAGATAGAGAATTCAGTAGTAGAGTACGAAACAAAAAATACATACATATATATAAGCAGTCAAAGAATTCTCCTAATTAGATATTATGATTAAGAACTTTATAAGAGTCATGGAAATGGGAAAAGTGAGACAAATGGAAGAAACAATCAAGTAAGTAGCGAGTTATTTACAAAGTCCTCAAATTGCCGCGAAGAATTAGCGAAAGAACGGTTATCGGAAAACTGCCAGTAAACTTGTTACTGTTCAAAGTTCTGCAAATCATGCAAGATTATGTAAGAGAAACTAACATATTATAAAATGAAAACAAACTGTAGATCAAGAGGAAATTTGGACTAACAAGATTTCCAAAGATGTCAAGTTTCCAAGAGATGCTGGAATAGCTCCACCGAGATTATTTTGCGATACCCGCCTGTCAGCCAAAAAAAAAAAGGGACAAAAATATGATGAATATTTGTTTTGCTTACAAGAATCTTTCTTTGTTTGTTTTGCTTTTTAAATTATGGGAAATATTTTTATGTATATACTTACAAGAATCTCAAGGAATTTAAGTGTCCAAAAGATTTTGGTATGGTTCCTGAAAGATGATTCCGGTATAGATCAAAACTGACGAGTCTCCTTAGTTTACCGAGCTCTCTTGGAATGGTTCCATTGATGTGATTTGCATATAACTCCCTGTAAGAAATTATGTACACACACATATATATTTAATTAAGAGGAAAAAAAAGCCCCTATTTTTGTGTGTGTGTGTGTATTTTATGATATTGTTGTTCTATTATCCTACTTTCTTCCTTTAGGCACTAGAGACTAGAGATAAGCAGAAGTACTTATAGTAAAGGAGCTATTTTAAGAACATTCGTTCACTTCTCTTTGGCTTAATGACTTACAAATACTGAAGGTTGGTCAAGTTTGCAAGCTCAGGAATAAGTGGTCCAGAGAGCCCAGCAGCTCCAAGGTCCCCTCACATGTATATATGTTTTTATTAATTAAGGAAATAAATGTCAGATTTAGGCTAATTAGGAAAAGGGATTAGCATAAATAAACGGCAAAGATGAGTGATTAGATAAAAGACTTACAGCCTTAACGACGCTGTTGTCGACGTCGCACGTAACGTGGAACCATGTGCATGGATTCCCAAAAATTCGGGTTCCAACTCTGGAGGACATTGTAAGGGTCTACCAACTTGGTTTTCCAGGCGTACAGAATGTCCCCTTTTCCAAATTTAAAGCAATTTTAACAAATACAAAACTAAATTCGATCGACTTAGCAAAGAGATTTCGAAACGAACAATAATGAGAAAAATCATATATTTGTAGAACTACGTAACATTTTTGGACAATATTCAGATCACATATCAAGATTTGTCTAACAAATTTAACAAAACTTGACAAATATATATCTGAAAGTTTTAGAACAAGATACCCTCGGAGTTGCAATCCACGGAAGCTAAAGCAATTGATAATGCAAGTAGAAAGTAAACTGTAAGCTGAGAATTCATCATTCAGAACTCTAACTAAATGAAGTTAGAGCAAATTAATCTGAAAATTGGTCTTTTCTTCGTAGCAGTAATAACTGGACTCTGAAGGAATATCAAAAGTCATTCAAAACTCAATTCAAGACTTTAAATTGTAAAGTTCATGGCTAGAATCTGCAAATTTGTTAAAAGCAATACAAAGGGTAGGCAGACTAGACTAGATTGATGGCGGACTTTTGATCGAGTCAAAGTCAACGCTGAGTCGTGATAGTTGAATATTCTACAACAGTTTGGAGTTCTTGGCTACATAAATGTGTAAATATATGTAGCAGTTGGAGAATTAAATGCGTGAATAAATTATATAAAGTTGAATTTTGTACAACCTTCAGAAACGCTATTAATAGTCAGACAAAGCCCCCTCATTGGCTGCTCCGTGGCCTTGTTTATTTTTATTTATTTATCTACTGATGTTTCTACTCTAGCTAGTTGTTGCGGATGACTTGTGTGATTGGGCCAGAGTTTCTGCTATCTCGGGCCTGAGTTTCTGCTATCTCGGGCCGAGTTCAACTAGGGAAGGTCAAAATCTTTGCGGAAAATTTTTATTCCCTAGTCCATTTCTTGACCAAGTGAATTGTTATCAATAAGAAAATGATCATAAGAAAAACTGGAATTTTCTTTGGCGACCACGCAACGATGTTATAATATAGTTGTACAGGTTCGACTGATGACCCGACTCTAATAGCATATACAAATTAACAGTATACCAAGCATCATCTTCTCTGACTAAAATAAAATTTCAAATACCTAATGTTTCCGTAGTTACTTTTTCCTATGATCAAAGCAAACGTAGGCCCCTTTGGATGAAGTAATTGGTTTCAAAATGTATAGCCTGTTAAGAGTAAATGAAACTGTATAGCCTGTTAAGAGTAAATGAAACTGTATAGCCTGTTAAGAGTAAATGAAATTGTATTGCCTATTAAGAGTAAAACATCCTGGACGTTTAGTTCATACATTCAGAATTATTCTCGATTTACGTGTATTTTTATGAGAGAAAATACTGTAGCAAACAACGAATCATGATTCAAATTATGACACGAATACACCAACTAAAAATTGAATTATAGGGGTTGTTCTTCCTCAAACTCAACTCTCTAAAATAGCTAACAAGTTTGCTGTAATTTACGCTTTGTACCACTTTTAAATGAAAATAAGAAAATTAGATAAAAATAAGTTAGAATATTCAATAATATTCCCCCCGACTGCCTACTTAAAATTAGATAAAACAAATTAGTTTGACCTTATAATCTGAAAATTTTGGTCCTGGTTAATAATGACAAAAATCTAAGGCATTTAAGAAATTATATAAATCTCTATATTCCTCTTTTATAAACAAATAACTTTTAAAGTAAAAAAAAAAAATGTAATCCTCCAAATATAATAAAAAAAGTTGTAAGAGAGAGAAAGAAATATTATCTCTCAACATTTTGGTATTTGTTAAAGACGCCTCTTCGCTTGTAGAGCAGTCTGCACTTGTCTCCAGAGCACTGGTCTATCAAGGTACCTCCGGCCTCTTCTCCATCTCATTGACTACTTAGTCGCACCTCCCACCATTTTGCATCTCTGAAGTTCTTTTATTTGTCTTTTTTACGGATTATCTAACGTATTTTGCATGACATTTTCATCATTTCAGCAACAAAGAGGGCCCTAAGACACGTGTCCTTTGGCCTAATTTGGGCCTAACCGAGCCAACTTCTTCATCGAAGGTCTAGCCATCCACATCGAAGCTCGGCCACGTCGGATACGCTTCCGACAAACTACGTGCTTAAGTGTGTCAAACCCCGACAAGTCGACTCTCTGAATCTACCGGACCCCGACAACTGTTAAATACTAAATTTACTGGTAAATACCATATTTATATATTTATCTAAAAATCAAGACCGGCTCCGACAACCGGTAAATACCGTACTACCGAATTCAAACTTATTCAGTGAAGTATTTACTAATAAATACAATATTTACATGATCAAGAATTAGATTCAGTAAAATATTTATTGGTAAATACATTATTTACCACATTAGGAATTGTATTCAGTTAAGTATTTACTGATAAATACAATATTTACCAATTTTAAACTTGAATGCAGTGAAGTATTCACTGGTAAATATCATATTTGTCATATTCAAACTTATAACTACTATAATATTTTCATATGCACAATATTTATCACATCCAATCTTATAACTAGTAAAGTATTTACTAATAAATACAGTATTTACTATATTTCAATTTGTAACTGTTAAACTATTTTACAAGGTGCATACGACCGGCGACGTCGACTTCATTGCCAGAGATCTTTGTCGCCATCGTCCTCGACGACGTTGTCTTCACCGCAGATGGAGTCGCGAGTTCCCAGAGATCGGAGATCGGAGTCTGACCTATGCTCTTGGAGATGGCAGAGAGAGAAAGAGAGAGGTTAGAGAGAGAGGGAGTGCCAGTTGGGTTCGAGTATGAGGAAGAAAAAAATAAACCTTAAAAGTAAGAGTAACTAGAGATCATCGCATCTCCTCAATCATCAGTTGGATCTGGTTTGAGGTCCCACGCGGAGAAGGTGCAGACGACCGGCGACGTCGACTTCATTGCCAGAGATCTTTGTCACCATCGTCCTCGACGACGTTGTCTTCACCGCAGGTGGAGTCACGAGTTCCCAGAGATTGGAGATCGGAGTCTGACCTATGCTCTTGGAGATGGCAGAGAGAGAAAGAGAGAGAGAGAGAGAGAGAGAGAGAGAGAGAGAGAGAGGGAGTGCCAGTTGGGTTCGAGTATGAGGAAGAAAAAAATAAACCTTAAAAGTAAGAGTAAATTTGTCAAAAAATTTTTATCAGAAATTTAAAATTAAAAACATGCTATAATTAATCATCTTGTGAAAACTATGTTATTTACTTTAAAAAGCATATCTAAATTATGCTATTTAGTTCATTTTTTGATGAAAAAATAATCTGCATGTTATAAATGATAACTTGAGGGTTATGAAAAAATAATTTGTAAATTATTAATGATATAAGATAAATTTATAACAGTAACATAAATAAAATAATGTCACTTTAAATATGGCATTTTTAATCATCTCTAAAAAGAAAAATTAGATTAATTGGGTTGGTCTGAGTGCTGGAAATTCCATGATATTAATTTTTTTTTCGTGCCACCATTTACTCAACTAAATATAATTCTAAGCTTCTAGCTACTGAGGGCATGTTCTTTTGTCTAAAAAACTCAAAAAAAGACAACTCGAGTTTCAACTTTATTCAAGTTCACGTTCTTTTAAGTTTCAACTTTATTCAACTTTATTCAAGTTACAACTTCAACTCAAGTTATAATTCAAATTCAACTTAAAAACTACACTCAAATTACACTCCAAAAGAACAACTCCTAAAATTTTAGGGGTTGTTCTTTTACATTTTTAAGTTAGGGTGGCTTGAGTGATAATCTTGAGTTGAGTTTGAGTTATAACTTGAGTTGAAGTTGTAACTTAAGTTTGTGTTTGGATGTGCACATTTGAGTTATAATTTGAATTGAGAATTTATTTGAATTTGTGTTTGGGTGAGTCAAAACTTAAATTTGTATTTAAATAGTATTTTAATAAAAATTTAATGGTGATGAAAAATTTTAATAGGGTATATAGGTGGGGTTTTATTTGTCTTTTCGTTGTGAATGCATAGAAAAAAATCATCTCAATCAGAATTAAAACGAAAAAGTTATGACATTTTTAAGAATAGAAAAAATAATGTTCATTAACTTGAATTCGAGTTTATGAACTCGAGTTGAAGAGAAAACTTGAACTCAAATTTAGTTCCAAACTCGAGTTTAAATTCTTATTTTATAAAAAAATATAAACTTAAATAAAATTATAACTCGAGTTTAATTTTATATTTTCTACCATACAGCAACGTCCTAACTTTTCAACAAAATGTCAATGGCAGAATGTACCCATTAGTGACGAAGAGAGTAGTAGCTGAAAGTAGGAGTGTACAAAAAAACTGTAAAACCGAAACCGACCGAAAAACCGACCGCTCAAAACTGAAAACGACGGTGCCACGTGGAACCGAACATAGTCGGTTCGGTTAACTGACTAACTTCCTCAAAAGTTGGTTCGGTTTCAGTTTTGTGTGTAGAGAGTCGGTTAAAACCGAATCGACCGAGATGGGATTTTTTTTTTT